CGGCATATTTAGTTTAAATCGTTTATCATTAAGAATAAATTTTCAGAAATGTTTGACTACAGGATGTGCAATGATGTCTTTCACAATCAAAATTTAATTTGCAGACGTTTTAATGAAAGACAAACATGGATCGACATTTTATGAGGGTTGTACGAGAAAGAAAATATGTTACTGAATTTTGTTAATCAGCTATATAATGTCGATAAGTTTATTGTCATCCTGAATCCCCTCCACCTCCTTAAACTTTTTTTCTTTGAATACTCGGAAATTATGGGTCATAATTAAAATATTTCTAGCCTATATCTATATATGAGTTAAGTCTGACTCATGCATGATTGCAAAGTTTTGAATTAGTTGAGCAAGTCCAAATGGATGTTTTGAATATCCCTGCAGTTGATTAAAAACATGAAAACATCTATATTATGGAAGGCTGTAATGTCTAATTTATTATTTAACAACCAACACTTCCAATTTATACAACCATCACAAAACATTCTGTTTTTTTGAAACTATAACTTGATTTGGTACTTTCATCAAAACTCTTTTAATAGATGTTCAATAAATCGATTTCAGCATTTTAGTACAGTCACTCCAAATGTTTTAGGTGAGTCCTAGCACTAAATATAATGGGCACACACTGCATGCGCTGTTAGTAGATGGTTATGTACAGCACACAAAGTATTCATTATCGCTCATCCCTAAAGAAGATAATATAGCAATACTTTCTTAGAATAAGCTAATATATAGGATGTTCCATGATATCTTACAGTATTTTGATTTGATTTTATTTTCTATAGGAATCAATGCAAGCCTACATATAGTGCTGTTCAAAAAGCTCCTCTCCCACTAGTTCTAGGTCTAGTTACCCGGCTGCAGGGCGATGAATTTAATACTTTAATATTAATCTTACCGGAAAAGTGGCATTTAAAAATTTTCTGAATTGCGGCTGGGTACCATTTTCAAAAAAAAATTAAGTGATTGGGGTTATCTGATATCTCACTTTGGAATCCCTCCATAGAATATAAAACCACAGCGGACCAATGGCGGACTGGTAGGATGTCAAATTTGAGCATTTCTCTGTATTGAGTCACTTATAACGCCACAACCAATTATCAAAAAATTCTACAGTACAAGCCCCTTCCCACTTCAGTTGGCCAACTTCAAGATTTGTACCAGAATATGCCTCTATAAGCTAAACATGACGAAACTATTTACTTCTAAAACAATTTATTTCCTCAAAAACATTTTAGATACACTCTAGTCGTAAAAATTCATATTTGAAATCACTTGGACCTATAACTAATAGAACATCTGAACAGATAAAAAATGTGCGAATAAATGCGCGAAGTTAACAAAGAAACAATTGAAAGATTACCATTGGGTAACATCTCCTTTATTTTTTTTTATTACGGCTGAAGTTCTTTGGGGCATAGTGTTAACCAAGCTTTGGCAAAAATTTGGTGTAAAACAATCCCATATTTCTTGAAGCTTTTGTCTCAGTTCGGAGATTGTACGAGCTGGATGTTGTCGTGTCGTGTCATCTCGTGCCACAAAGTTTCAATAGGTAACAGATCTGGACTGCTAGAAACCCATTTCAAAAGTGGTACATTATTTTCTTCCATTGATTTTATAGCCTTTTTTGTGGTATGGCACGCTGCACCATCTTGCTGAAACACAAAATCTTGGCCGGATGTTAAACATTATTCCATCACTGGTAAAAGCGATTCTTCTAAAATTGCCAAATATTTGTTTGTATCCACATTTTCATCAATAAAATGAAGTTTTCCTACTCGTTTTGATGACATACTGCCCCAGACCATAAGGGATGCTGGAAATTTCACTTTTCTCTTCAGACAGTCAACATGGAATGATTCATTTTTTTGCGAATAACTCTACTGCGACTGTCACCAACACAAACTTCGAATCGGGCCTCATCACTCCATTGTATTGCACACTATTGTTGAGGTGTCCATTGTCTATGTTCTTTAGCCTATCTAAGCCGATTTTTCTTTTGCATTGGAGTTAATAGTGGCTTTTTTTGGCCTATAAACAAGTTGTGCAACTTTAGGGTTTTTACTTCACTTTTTTATAAGAAAACTTACCTTGTAAGTGCTAAATCCCAGTTTGTGGGCCTCTCTATGAGTTGTGGCCCTCGAAATTCTCCTTCCAATAGCGTCACTCCACAGAGCACTTAATTGTAAATAATTGGCACACCTGTTTTTCACGTTTATTCTTCTTAATGCTCTTCGGTCGGTATTTGTGATATTACTTTTTTTCACATATGGTGGCTTAATATTAACTGAACCAGTTACGTTATATCTTCTAACAATATTTCTCACACTGTACCGCGATAAGCAAGCCTAACAAAGTTGCAATCTCTGAGTTTGATTTCTCAGAATTAAAAAATTTAATTATCAGTAACCGAATTTTCTCACTAATAACCTTTCCTCTACTCATTTTGAAAACCTTAACTACCCAAAACTATTTTAAACGTATTCTGACAGCTGTGATTAATAAAAACAATTGTCATGGCTTTTATTTTTCACAGCCACCTATGCGCTATAGACTTATTTTGCATTGAAATGAAAATAGGTTGATATGCTGTAATTGCAACATGTGTTATTTTTATGCTGAAAATTTGATTAGGGAGTGATAAAGTTGGTGTTTTCTACTATATATTATCAAAATATTTATTGTTAATATTTTAAACCTATAACACCCTGCTACATTTTTATTATTTGTGTTTGATAAGAAAAGAACTAAGATTTCAATAGTTGGGCCAACTGAAGTGGAAATGGGGCTCGTATATCATATCAATCTCCTGTTATTGATTCTTGAATATCCCATTTTTAAAAATTGTTAAAACATGTCCATTTTTTGTTAAAGTACATTCAGGTAGGACTATCCAAAAGAAGACTATTGATATAACTTACTATAACGCTTTGATGATTAGTTGTTGACTTATAGGCGATTCAATGTACAGGGTGGTCGATATGTAACAGAACTTGAATATTTGTGAAATGAAATAAAATACGTCTATTTCTCTGATCTGATTCTTCTATTGAAACTTACAAATTATGTATGGAAAATCTTATCAGACAAATGTCCGCCTCTAGAAGCCGCGTAAACCTGAGCTCTCTTGGTTACATTTGCGGGAGGAATAATTTCAATCGCTTCCGTAATATTGTTCTTCAACTGCTCTACGGTATTTGGTTTGTTGGCATAAGCCCTATTTAAAAAAAAACCCATAAAAAAGTCAGGAGCCTTTAAATTCGGTGACTTGATGGCCAGTTGACATCACCAAATCGAGAAATTAAACGTGCCGGATATTGTTCGCAAAGGACTTATTGTTTCCCTAGCTGTGTGACAAGTTGCTCTGTCCTGCTGGAACCACATGATTTGCAGGTTAAATTGTTGGATTTGAGGAACCAGAAAGTTTTACACCATATTACGGTAGCGCTCGCCAGTGACAGTGAGAGAATTACCTGCAGTGTCTTCAAAGAAGTAAGGTCCAATGACACCTCCATACCAAACACTGTACCAAACTGTGACTCAACGAGGATGCAGTGGTCGTTGATGGTTGACAACAGGGTTTTCTAATGCCCAGATACGACAATTCTGCTTATTAACAAATCCGTTCATATCGAATTGGGTTTCATCGCTCATTATCAGTGTCGGTAAAAATTGTTATTTTGGGTATTAAGTTGCAATATTACATGACTAGGTTGTCGTTCTTGGGTTAACTGAATTTTGTATGGCCGCAAATTCAATTCTTTTTTTAAAATAGTGCAAAATGACGTGCGACGAATACCCAGTTCCTCAGAACGATGTCTGGTAGACGTTTCAGGGTGTTGACACTGGGCACATTATTTCGACCGAAATCTTGTCGTAGCTTCCGAATCGTTGCAACAATCGACTCATTATTTAAGTAGAATACTTTTACGATACGGAAGCGTTGCGGGTTCGTGTAGGGCTCCATGATGAATTGGACACATGCGCCTTGAACAAGTACTACGGCGTTGCCTACTGAAATGCGTGTATCAAAATGACGCGCAATTTAAATCAGACAGTTATATATTGGTCACTCTGTACAATCCGCTATTTTGAAAAATAGTGATTTACCAGTCTAGGGTTTTTCAGGACTCATAAGGATCTTAAGATGAGGAAACGTATGACCCACCATTCCATTCAAAAAAGAGCTCCAGTATCTTTGAATTTTCACGTAATGTTTTTATGTTATAATTCGTGCATCAATTTCATCACCCTGATTTTCATGAGGCTAACTTAACCCATTCGAATGAGAGAGTAGCACTGTATTACCTACACTCCAATCTGTGTAGCATGCATACGTAACTTTTTTCCTTTAAATATTAACACTCTTCTTAAAAAAGTTGTCAACCCTCCTTTTGGTTGTGACCCATAGTTTTTCCATAATTATCTACTGTTATCACTAATATGAAACATCCTGTATGAAACCAATGTACGTAAGGGTTTTCGTTAAAAACGAACGGACTGTTGAATTACAGAATTTTGAAGTAGTGACACTACAGTGGTGAGGCAGACCTGTTTTCAAAGGAAACTAGTAAATTGTGCCCTGATAGGTATTTAGGAATACATATTTAGCACCCTTACCTTGGTAGAGAAGCTATACGTATGTAGAAAAGTAATCTACTTAGCCATGAGAAAAATAATTGAAACACACAAGCATGATATGCTAAATAGTAGCATGTGTACTAACCTTACTTGCAAAATTTGTGGTAAATTTGATTATCTATAAACTAAATTTTCAAAAAATAAATATCTTAAAATTACAGTAAATTTTCGACAAAAGAGCGCCATTAGACGAAAACAATTCTTGAGATAATAGTTGTCGTCTATAGGGATGATGAGCCATCATATTACACAATAAAACAGTTTCGAAGTTTCCAATTTTAGACAAAGTTCTGTAACTCAGCGTTATCCAGTTCTTCCCCTTCCCTCTTAACAGCTTCAATACTAACCTGTGTGACAGGATTCTCTCCCGGCCTATAGACAACATTGTGCAGTGGCCTTTTTCTTCCCACGTAATTGACGCACACGAACTCCAGCAGACTAGCATAGATGAAGCACATGCAGACGCCGTCCCAGACGTTCATCGCTGTCAGGTTGGACACTACAGGAAGCGTGGACCGGAAACCGTTTGATGTCGTGAAGAAATTCAGCATTGTTGTTACACCTGTATAGGTGATACGTATTAAGAAGTTTGTCTTATAAGAATTTAGTGATTGTCCTAATCTTCACAAATGCCTGTTGCCGATACAAAAAACGGCCGAAGCTACAAGGAAACAACGACATCAGGAATTAACTCCGCCATCTTGTACCTTATAAAAGAGCAACATTTTACTATGTTATATTTACTATTTAGCTCAATACCGTTGTTTTATGGATATTACTATTATTATCTGGTATGGGGTTTTATCGCGGCCATTACAGTTCTTTATCATGCATAAGACCAGCTACAGACTTCCATAGTCGGCTCTGAACTAGGGCTGTCATTAGTCCGGTTTACTTTAGGGCTTTGGGTGCCTAGCCTACCCAGTTAAGTGATATAATTTGTTTCATACTAATGTTATGTTAGTTTTATTATTTACGGAAACAAAAATTATAATTAAAATTTGTTTTTGATTTGATGCCTAACTATTTTTGTTGCCAGATTACTTTAGAAAGAGCATAATTTTATTTGTAATGACTTGAGTATCAGGTAACCAAATAAGTTCGTGCGGTTGCTGTATATCGCACATTGCCATGGATGTTGTTAATCGATAGGATCTTCGTCAGGTTGTGGATGCAAATTCCAGGACAACGTGCCAAGAACTTGCGTCTGCATCTTTATCAGCTAGGAAAGACGTGGAAGTTAAGCAAATGAGTCCCACATGAACTGACAAATGATAACAAATTAAGTGGTCTTACCATTTGTTCAGCAAACATTTCACGCAACGCTGATCGGTTATTAACCTGCGACGAAAAATGGATCTTGTATTCGTATTCTAAGCGTTCGTATCATTGGTTGTCGCCTACTGATTCGGCACCACACACGCCCAAGGCTCCCTTGCACCCAAACAAGGTTTTGTTTGTGTTTGGTGGACAGCAACTGGAATTGTCCATTATGACTCTTTGGAAAGGGGTCAAACGATCACTGCTAACTTGTATTGTGAGCAGCTTCAACAAGTACAAGCAGCACTCACCCAGAAACAGCCTTCTTTGATCAATCGGAAAAAAGTGATATTCTTGCAGGATAACGCCAACCCTCATACCGCAAAAGTCACCCGAGAAAAAATTTCTGAACTCGGCTGGGAAACGTTACCGCACCCGCCATATTCTTCCAACATTTCGCCCAGTGATTATCACCTTTTTTTGTCTCTTGACAACTGTATGACGCACTGACAGTTCACAACTCGAGATGGTGTAATACATGCAGTCCGCCAATTTTTTGACTCCAAATCCAGGGAGTTCTACAATACCGGTATACAAAAATTGATTCCACGTTGGCAAAAGGTCATTGAATGTGATGGTAATTACTTCGACGATTAAATAGTGTCTCATTGTTTCTCAATAAAAATTTATATTTTTCTACAAACATCCGCACAAACTTATTTGGTTACCTGACTTTTCATTTGTTAAGCTGTAAGATTAAGACGGTTTTGTCATTGTTAAACAAATCGCTAACAAACTGTTTAAATAAATAAAAAATTGAAAATTACAGATGTTTATATTTCTATTATAAAAAATCTGGTGTCCGCTAAAATATCTCAATTTCACCCAAATGTTATGGGTTTTTGAAACTTTTGCCCGGCATTGGTAATTTAGGTGATGGTAGCCCTACTCTAAGCTAGTCGCATCTTACAATAAATTAACTCATCAATAAATATTGAACGTTATAGATACTGGGCAGGTTATGTTAGGCAATCATCCGATTTGTCCTCACTAACACGTTTTTTAATATTCTAAAGCAGACACATTCCAACATAATTCGACTCTCTGGCTCAGAATATTCCATTCTAGTCTGGAAGAAAACCGCGGCGCGATTTGTTATTGCTTACGTTACATTGCTTTACTCAATACGTAGCATTTCATCTCATTAGGTATACAGGAACCCAGATAAATATTTCGCTTTTCTTCTGTTTAGCAAAACGTAAAGTACAGTAGTGGTCAGACATCTATTAGAGCTGCCCTAATTGCTAAGCACAACTTCGAATATATTGTCATAAACAGGAGGGACGTCATTGATTCAAAACCGTGGATTTAAGTACGTTCCGTTTAGAGTAACCTTTCACTTCTCTCTATCGGTTGTTATATAAAATGACTGTGTTATCATGGCTTCCTTATCGATTTAGTAATATTTCATTCTTATAAATAATATAACTTTTAGCGCATAACAATTTTGCAGTTCAGTAGTAAGTTCCAACTAATATTGGCAGGATAACTAATTATTTCAGAAAAGTGGTTATGAAACGACTAATAATTTCCGTATCTTGTGTTTTACTGTCAACGTCGTGAAATCTGCTCCCAGACGACTGCAATAAGTTTTTAATTTTAGATTTGTACAATTGACAGTAGAAATATTGACATTCCCTTTCAAATAATTTGGTGTGGGAAACAGGTCATCACATTTTCTGTGACTAAGTTAATTGAAAATATATTTAATTTTGCTTTGAATTGGCTTATCAATTGAACATAGTTGGAAGTGTACAATTTTGGCCTTGTAAAGGAAACTGGCGGTGCGCAGGATTATTTGAAACTCGTTCGATGGCCGCAGTGTAGCCCGCGGGCGCCAGGCTGAGCAGACTTGATCTAATCAAAACGATGAACTTACCTATCATAACCCTGGCAGGTACTGCGTTCCATTCTAACCAAAACGTGATAAATGATGACGTTACTAATATTATACCGGGGATGAATACTGTCGTGAAGTAAAAGGCTCGGTCCCTGGTGAACATCAGTTCCACCCTCAAGCAGCTATAATTGCCTGCAAGAAAATAATTCTATAATACTGTTGAACGGATCACTAATTAACTAAAACAGTTTATATTTTTTTAGGGATGCATTGAGCACTCGGTTTGGACACGGTACTCGGCATACTCGGCCCATTTTACCTAGTACACTTCTTCGCCGAGTATTAAATTACTCAGCCGAGTAATTACTCGGTCTCAAAGCAAATCAAAGAACTGCAGATGCCATGTGCTAAGTTTGAGTTATTATGCTTTCCCCAAACCTTCCTCATATGTTCTCCAAGAAATTAGTGCCCAGTCACAAAAAAATAAACAAGGTTACAGCATATAAGCTAGTATATTTGAGGTATTTGTGTAGCTGATTTTTTATTTACAAGGTGCTAGTACTATATGTTTTTAATAAAAAATACGGTAAGTCCGTACTATAGCTATCGAATCAATCCCTTTTAATATTTGAATATGTACAAAAAAGCCAATGGAAAGTGCTAATTAATTAGCCAAATAGATTTATTGCCTATTTTAGATTTTCAGTTATTTTTTAATTTATTAAAGTATCTTGATTTAGCAGTTTACGTGACACAAAACTCAAAACTTCAAGGTATATGAACTTTGTTTCATCATTTTGCAAAATAATGTTTAAAATTGAAACTAAGATGTTTTTGGTACCTACTCCAGATTCTAGGATCGGATTTGGTTTTCTTTACTTCCTTGTATTTTATTAAGTGCAACGCCCTGTAAGTTATACTCTGAATATATTATTAAGGAAAGGGCAACTCATGATATAAATAAAAGGGGAAATCTGTTCAGTAATTTTTTCAATGATCTAATTCTACCAACCTATATTTCTCAGCACGAGCTACTGTTAAAAAGGGAAATGGCATTTAATATACAGACCACTAAATTTCACTCTCTAGACCAACCTGAAATTAAGTAAAAAATCCACAAAAGCACAGTATGCAGTTCCGGACTTGACATTCAATTATGTGATGTACCATGTGTGCATTAACCTCAATCGAACGTAGGGTTGTGATGAAAGCACATAAGTGTGACTATGTAGAGAATACTGAGTACAGTAGGATTTTCTACATTTTTATCATAATCTTGAATTGGCTTTAAGAGACAAATTCAGTGCATTTGCATATTAAATGCCGTTTCCCTTCAAGGCAGGGCTCGGAATTGTTGTATAACATTAGTGAGTAGACTTAAATCATAAAAAAATTATTGGAATACTAAACAGGGTGCATAACATTGATTTTCGCGTTTATTTGTATCATTTATTAAAACTGAACCCGATCATGGAGTTTTGAGTCCCCAAAACAACTTTAGTTCAACTTTAATTACTATTGTGTAAAATGTTGATGTAACCAAGTTGATATTGCTAGAAATTTTGAGTTTTGTGTCACATAAACTGCTAAAAATAATATATTTGAATGAGTTTTCTTTTTATTAAAAAACGAAAAAGGGGCGTAATTTATCCATTTTGTTATTTGATTAGCACTACTCATTGCCTTTTTGTGGTTGGTCAAACATTTCAGTATTCAATCTAAAAGGTGTGGATTTTGATAAAAAACAAAAAATAGTCGAGTCCGGTCCTGGATTTACTTTCCGTTCATCTAGTTTTACATGACTAGTTGGTAACTTAGTTATTGTGCAAAATTTAAGCAAATTTGGTTTAATAGTGCCTGAGATATGTTGTATTGAAGATTTGGCGTGTTTAAATAACTCTCTGTATATCCGTAATAACTAAATTTTGAATTTTTTTATTTCCAGATATGAAAAGGACTTGGCTCATACTACGTACCATTTCCCATTGTCTATTTAAGTACGGAACACGCTTTGCACTGCGACGCCTATGTATGTCTACCTAATGTTTGAATTTTATTATCAGCTTTATCAGTAAAACATGCTTATTACTCGAAATTTCGATATCGTTAGACGAGGTGGCCGAGTGGTTAAGGCGTTGGACTGCTAATCCAATGGGCTCTGCCCGCGTGGGTTCGAATCCCATCCTCGTCGATTATTTTTTCTGTCATTACTGATTTGTATTCACGGATTGTTCAAATTTTTAATAATTATGTGACACGTAGTTTTTTAGATAAGTATGCGAATTGATTGGCGAGTAAATCTCTGGATTGTAACGAGTATAAAACAGGGGCGGAGTGGGGTTTCCTGGAATTTGTTATTTGTATTCTCAAAAAATTGAAAGTTAATTAGTACATCAAGACTCCTGTCAAAATTTCTGGTACTTTGACATCATAATGCAATATGTATAATAAACTACGCAACTTGCCATTGATATCAGATTTTATGCAGTATAAGTTTTGGAGCTTTTGGTAAAAATCGAAATAGCTTTTCGTGTATAGGCATAAGCATGAAGTTTTTCTTGTTTTGAATGCATTGGTTTTCAATAAATATGCTCTTATGAGCGCCCGTAGGAGTCTTACTCGAGGGGGAGGCAATTAGATAACGAGAAGAGAAAACTTTTTATAAACTGTGAAAGTTTAACAGCCTCTAAAAGTACCACGACTACACTCAAAAAGTTGAATATACGAGCCCCTTCCCACTTCAGTTGGCCCACTTCAAGATTTGTACCAAAATATGCCTTTATAAACTAAACATGTCGAAACTATTTACTTCTAAAACAATTTATTTTCTCAAAAACATTTTAGATACACTCTAGTCGTAAAAATACATATTTGAAATAACTTAGACCTATAACTAATAGAACATCTGAACAAATAAACAATGTGCGAATAAATGCGCGAAGTTAACAAAGCAACAATTGAAAGATTACCATTGGGTAACATCACCTTTATTTTTTATTACGGCTGAAATTCATTGGGGCATAGTGTTAACCAAGATTTGGCAAAAATTTGGTGTAAAACAATCCCATATTTCTTGAAGCTTTTGTCTCAGTTCGGAGATTGTACGAGCTGGATGTTGTCGTAGAACCTTTTTCATCTCAAGCCACAAAGTTTCAATAGGTGACAGATCTGGACTGCTAGAAACCCATTTCAAAAGTGGTACATTATTTTCTTCCATCCATTTTATAGCCTTTTTTGAGGTATGGCACGCTGCACCATCTTGCTGAAACACAAAATCTGGGCCGGATGTCAAACATTCTTCTATCACTGGTAAAAGCGATTCTTCTAAAATTGCCAAATATTTGTTTATATCCACATTTCCATCAATAAAATGAAGTTTTCCTACTCCTTTTGATGACATACTGCCCCAGACCATAATGGTTGCTGGAAATTTCACTTTTCTCTTCAGACAGTCAACATGGAATGCTTCATTTTTTTGGGAATAACTCTACTGCGACTGTCACCAACACAAACTTCGAATCGGGCCTCATCACTCCATTGTATTGCACACCATTGTTGAAGTATCCATTGTATATGTTCTTTAGCCCATCTAAGCCGATTTTTCTTTTGTAGTGGAGTTAATAGTGTCTTTTTTTTTGGCCTATAAATAAGTTGTACAACTTTAGGGTTTTTACTTCACTTCTTTTTATAAGAAAACTTACCTTGCAAGTGCTAAATCCCAGTTTGTGGGCCTCTCTATGAGTTGTGGCCCTCGAAATTCTCCTTCCAACAGCGTCACTCCACAGGGCACTTAATTGTAAATAATTGGCACGCCTGTTTTTCACGATTATTTTTCTTAATGCTCTTCGGTCGGCATTTGTGATATTACTTTTTTTCACATATGGTGGCTTAATATTAACTGAACCAGTTACGTTATATCTTCTAACAATATTTCTCACACTGTACCGCGATAAGTCTAACAAAGTTGCAATTTCTGAGTTTGATTTCCCAGAATTAAATACTTTAATTATCAGTAACCGAATGTTCTCACTAATAACCTTTACCCATTTTGAAAACCTTAACTACCCAAAACTATTTTAAACGTATTCTGACAGCTGTGATTAATAAAAACAAGTGTCATGGCTTTTATTTTTCACAGCCACCTATGCCTTATAGACTTATTTTGAAGGTTATAAATCCCAAAATAGTTCTTATGGTTCCTCAATATCTTTTAACTACATTTCATTTGTATATGATAAAGCCACTACCTAGGAGTATTTTATAGAAAAAATGAACAGAGTATAACCTTATTTGTACATGCAGCTAAAGTCCACAGATGAAAAGGTTCGTTTTTTAAAAATTTAAGAAAAAATTCAATATCTCAAAAACGGTGACACTTTATATAGGCTTTTGTTATTTGGGAGGTCACTCCAAAACCTTCCTTTTCATTAAGTTTGTCGTGGTACTTATGTACCCTGTATATTTGAAGCTATTCTGCTGAATAACTATCTGACGCCTCAGAAGCTTCAGCCATAATTACTTTTCACCATCTTGCCCAGTTTACATTATGGGCTGAAATAACGTCATACGTCAGTTATTAGTTCTTGAGACGACGAGAAGTTAATCGTAACGTAAGGGAGGCGTGGGCAAAATGAACACGTCAAGATGTCTGCTATTATTGCAGGCATATTAGTTCATATTGAATCGAGGTAAACATCTATGATGATTTTTTATTAATCCATTCCTCAAAAAATGACCACTAATTTTTATTTAGTTGTATCAAGCAAAATACAAAAAGATGCAAATTATCCGCTTTGACTTTACGCGGACCACCGGGTAAAGCGAATACATATGACAAATGACAGATCAGAACAATCACAGACGCTCTCAAATTCTAAATATTCATCACATCACATACAGTGGTAGATAGATCAATGTGTACTTTTGATTCTTTGGTCAGGATTATTCAGTTTTTTCATATTTATGTGGACCAAAATACCAATTCAAAATCCACTAACAACTAAAATAAGGATTCTTGTGAATATAGTTTCCACTTTGCCTTATCCGATTTGTTCGAAGACACCAATTTTGGAGTTATATTATTATTTGTACGTCTGAGAAAGTCACCTCAGAGTACGCTAGATAGGTTAAAAAGCCGTACATAGGTAGAATAAAATTCGAGTTCTATTTACAGCGCCTATCTTGCGAAATCGATATTTTTGTTTAAAAATCATGTTTTGTTGTATGTTAGGCAAATAAGATCAAGGATGTTCCAACAACTGATTGCCGATCATTCAAGAAAAATGAAAGAATCTGTCTACTATATTTACTTTTTTGAGAATTCCCACTCATTGTTTGCATATAAAACGGGAAATTTATTTTCCCGGGGTGTTCGCTTTGATCGGGCTTATTAAAATAATTAAGTGAAGTGTATCATTGAAAGATTTTTATCTGTAGAAAGGATATTTTCAGATCATATTATAGTATTTTTTGAATGATTTTTCTAGAGTTGAAATCATTTCTAATATTTTGCTACTCTAGAGCAATAAAGTCAGGTTTAAATCAATCTTCGATACACGTCAACTGGTGCAGACAATTAGTATTCTTTTTACCTGCAGTGGTAAAAAAGGACCATAATCGTTCGCATTCTGTTTGCTGTTTTTGACTCCAAGACATGTTCTCGGTGAAAAACAAGTAATCAAGTACGAAAGAGTGTCAGCAGTGTCCACTTAGGAGCGCATCGACTTCTCGAACTCCGTAATTATCAGCTCATCCGGAAAGTGTCAGTGGGATGCGGAGTGTCGTTATTCCGGCCCCCTTCTGAGTTAATTATCCCTTAAGCCTCAACGGAACGATAGCACTTAGCAGGAGGACAGAAGCATTCTTTTGTTTTAAGATGAGGCGCTTTTGCGAATATTTTCGCTCTTTCAGTACTCGTTTGTCGTTCTTTGTCGGCACACGGTGCTCTGTGTAATGGCTAATGGCCCGCACAATGACGTGCACCTTTCATATAGCGTATCTGATACTACACAGCAATGCTACATCCGACGTTAATTACTGATTCATTTAATTTCATTGTAAAAATAATACATTGTGTGGGAATAGTTAGCAGTAAGCTTAAAGCTATAAAAAACTCTCTGAAGTAAAAAAGGGTGATAATGGAATACCATTCACTAGCATATTCTTCCACACTATAGTCCGTAAAGGATTAGGTTCAGCGCAGTTTAAATCCTCTGAGAAAAATGTCAGTCACGAACATGTACAACAGGGAAATTAAATGGATAAAGTGAGTCAAACAGGCCCGTACAATTAGTGCATATACGAGCCCCTCCCCACTTCAGTTGGCCCACTTCAAGATTTGTACCAAAATATGCCTTTATAAACTAAACATGACGAAACTATTTACTTCTAAAATAATTTATTTTCTCAAAAACATTTTAGATACACTCTAGTCGTAAAAAATACATATTTGAAATCACTTAGACCTATAACTAATAGAACATCTGAACAAATAAACAATGTGAGAATAAATGCGCGAAGTTAACAGAGCAACAATTGATAGACTACCATTGGGTAACATCACCTTTATTTTTTATTACGGCTGAAATTCTTTGGGGCATAGTGTTAACCAAGTTTTGGCAAAAATGTATTCAACTAAGATTGAGTGGTACCAAAATTTTTTGTGCCGAAAATATATTGTTTTAATAGTGACTTAAATTTATGATGATTTGCTGTATTCCTAACATTGATGTCGAATGAATTGTATGAGTAACATTTAGCGGCGTTATACTTGTATGACTAAGAGCGCTAGAAACATGGTGTGCGATGCCTTGGTATGAATAATGTGCTCATACTCGTGTATGTTAAACTTACATCATTAATGCTTGTTCTAAATGTTAGCTTGTTCCATAAACGTAGTGGTGAATGAGTGGTTATAATAAATCTTATAAATGATAAAAATAAATATTTGAACATGTTATTAATTTTGACCCATCCTAAATCTGACTGAGCCAGTTACATGATCGTATTTCCTAAGATTATCTGTAACATGCAACACGTTTTTGTTGTTCTAGGCCATTGATTCCCAAAGTGGTCTATATCGACCCCTAGGGGTCTATGACAACCTGCAAGGGGTCTACCTCAGCGAAAAAAAATTTGGGGGTCCATGAAATGAATATGGGGGTCCACGATAGTGGATCTCAACACATACTCTGATAGTACCTATTTACTTACATCATACTATCTTATAATATCAAAACATATACATTATTTATAAAAGTACCTATGAAGTAAAAAAATTATTATATATGTTTATAAAATTGTGTAAGCTGTAGGATGTTGGTATTCGCTTTGTGGTCGCAATACATTTTGAACTTGTAAAAACCTGAGAGTCGCAGTCTCAGAGCTTCGCTACCTTGCACTGACTTGTTCAATTCGTCACTCTATAAATACGAATGTGGGACAAATACGTTTATTCGTTAGTAAAAAATATAAACAGATAGCATATCACACAAATTATAGTGAGTCAGTGTTATTTTGTTTGAGAGTGCTGGAAAAAAGTAAGTACATTATTTTTTATTAAATTTTAGTTTTGTACTCGTAAAGAATTACGCCAATCATGACTTTAGTTATTAGTAGTTAAATATTCAATCATGCAAAATTACACGAGTACTCCTCAATAGTTTCTTTTTGAAAGTTTTAGCAATCGGTAATATAATTACAGTGCAATCTCCGTAATTCGAGCTAATTGTTGCAAGAAGATGTTCGAATTATGGAATGTTTTCGGAAAAATCAAAAAATATTATTAATATACAGCTGCTGGATTTTCTGTCTTATTTAAATAATTTAATATTGCCCACAGATGACTGATGCCATGTCCGAATCTAAAAAGAAATGTAGACAGTACAGTGTTGATTATTTGAAATTTGGCTTCATTCCATCATTGCCGGACAAACAATCGCCTATGTGCCTTTTATGCAACAAAGTTTTGGGCAATGACGCTATGAAACCATCTAAACTGCAAGATCATCTGAGAAGATCCAACCTGATAAAACAGAGAAAGATTTAAAATACTTTCAAACACTCAAAGATAAATTTCAGAAGAGACCTAAACTGAACAGAATGTTCGCTTCGACGTCACAAAGAAATGATGATGGTTTGCGGGCGTCTTACAATATCTCGTTACTTATAGCAAAATCCGGAAAACCGCATACTATGGGAGAGAAGTTAATTTTGCCAGCTGTTGAAGAGGTTTTAAAAACTGTTTTACACAAACCTGCATCCGATATCATTAAAAGAATTCCCTTAAGCAACAATACTGTTGAAAGACGTATTGATGAAATGAGTTCTGATATTGAAAGCTTCTTATGTAATTATTTGCAAACGACCCATTTCTCTATACAACTGGACGAGTCAACTTTACCTGATAATGCAGCATTATTATTGGCATATGTTCGTTTTATTATGAATCAAGAAATCTACGAAGAACTGCTCTTCGCAAGAACTTTGATAAAGGTGAATCAATATTTCATGTTTTGGAGGATTACTTCATTGAAAAAGCAATTCCTTTATCAAATATAATATCAGAAGCTACAGATGGAGCACCTGCCATGGTTGGACGTTATCGTGGATTTATAAGCTATTTAAAACAAAATGTGTCAGGGGTGTTAGCAATACATTGCGTCATCCATCGACAACATTTAGTTGCTAAAAATTTGAGTGTTAGATTGCATGAATAACTTCATTTAGTCATTGATGCAGTAAACCTAATCCGAAGCAACGCGTTCAATACGCGGTTATTTGCGCAGTTGTGTGAAGAAAATGACGAACACTTTCATCAATTACTCCTTCACACTGAAGTACGCTGGCTGTCGAAAGGCTTATGTCTGACAAGATTTTTTGCACTTTTTGAGACTATTTTAGAATTTCTGGATACTAAAGATAAAATTTTAAAAGAAAATTTAATGAAGAGGAAAACAGACATCGCCTATTTAACAGATTTGTTTACAAAATTTAATATGGTTAATTTGCAATTACAAGGCGACAGTTTAAATTTGATTAAAACAAAGTCCATCTTATCAGCGTTTCTTGCCCGAGTTAAACTAATGAAGCAAAATATTGGACGGGACGAATTTTCTGTTCCCCAATTTGTCACAGACAAGCTGCCAGGAAGACGACGTTTCAACTTACGTTCAACATTTAAATGTCCTCTATTCAGATTTTGAATCTAGGTTTGAGGATATTTTGACTATGGTAATACCATCGTGGATAATTAATCCATATGGTGACATAGAAGAAACGAATGTCATAATACAAGAGGAACTGACTGAACTAAGTACAAACGAAGAACTTAAGGTTCAGTTTAAAAACGGATATCAGCAATTCTGGCTGCAAAACAACATACCCGTTACTTATCCCGTATTATGGAATATAGCGAGGAAATTTTTAATTTCCTTTCCATCGTCATACCTAGTGGAAAGGGGGTTCAGCGCTGTTTACCTTGCAAGTGCTAAATCCCAGTTTGTGGGCCTCTCTATGAGTTGTGGCCCTCGAAATTCTCCTTCCAACAGCGTCACTCCACAGGGCACTTAATTGTAAATAATTGGCACGCCTGTTTTTCACGATTATTTTTCTTAATGCTCTTCGGTCGGCATTTGTGATATTACTTTTTTTCACATATGGTGGCTTAATATTAACTGAACCAGTTACGTTATATCTTCTAACAATATTTCTCACACTGTACCGCGATAAGTCTAACAAAGTTGCAATTTCTGAGTTTGATTTCCCAGAATTAAATACTTTAATTATCAGTAACCGAATGTTCTCACTAATAACCTTTACCCATTTTGAAAACCTTAACTACCCAAAACTATTTTAAACGTATTCTGACAGCTGTGATTAATAAAAACAAGTGTCATGGCTTTTATTTTTCACAGCCACCTATGCCTTATAGACTTATTTTGAAGGTTATAAATCCCAAAATAGTTCTTATGGTTCCTCAATATCTTTTAACTACATTTCATTTGTATATGATAAAGCCACTACCTAGGAGTATTTTATAGAAAAAATGAACAGAGTATAACCTTATTTGTACATGCAGCTAAAGTCCACAGATGAAAAGGTTCGTTTTTTAAAAATTTAAGAAAAAATTCAATATCTCAAAAACGGTGACACTTTATATAGGCTTTTGTTATTTGGGAGGTCACTCCAAAACCTTCCTTTTCATTAAGTTTGTCGTGGTACTTATGTACCCTGTATATTTGAAGCTATTCTGCTGAATAACTATCTGACGCCTCAGAAGCTTCAGCCATAATTACTTTTCACCATCTTGCCCAGTTTACATTATGGGCTGAAATAACGTCATACGTCAGTTATTAGTTCTTGAGACGACGAGAAGTTAATCGTAACGTAAGGGAGGCGTGGGCAAAATGAACACGTCAAGATGTCTGCTATTATTGCAGGCATATTAGTTCATATTGAATCGAGGTAAACATCTATGATGATTTTTTATTAATCCATTCCTCAAAAAATGACCACTAATTTTTATTTAGTTGTATCAAGCAAAATACAAAAAGATGCAAATTATCCGCTTTGACTTTACGCGGACCACCGGGTAAAGCGAATACATATGACAAATGACAGATCAGAACAATCACAGACGCTCTCAAATTCTAAATATTCATCACATCACATACAGTGGTAGATAGATCAATGTGTACTTTTGATTCTTTGGTCAGGATTATTCAGTTTTTTCATATTTATGTGGACCAAAATACCAATTCAAAATCCACTAACAACTAAAATAAGGATTCTTGTGAATATAGTTTCCACTTTGCCTTATCCGATTTGTTCGAAGACACCAATTTTGGAGTTATATTATTATTTGTACGTCTGAGAAAGTCACCTCAGAGTACGCTAGATAGGTTAAAAAGCCGTACATAGGTAGAATAAAATTCGAGTTCTATTTACAGCGCCTATCTTGCGAAATCGATATTTTTGTTTAAAAATCATGTTTTGTTGTATGTTAGGCAAATAAGATCAAGGATGTTCCAACAACTGATTGCCGATCATTCAAGAAAAATGAAAGAATCTGTCTACTATATTTACTTTTTTGAGAATTCCCACTCATTGTTTGCATATAAAACGGGAAATTTATTTTCCCGGGGTGTTCGCTTTGATCGGGCTTATTAAAATAATTAAGTGAAGTGTATCATTGAAAGATTTTTATCTGTAGAAAGGATATTTTCAGATCATATTATAGTATTTTTTGAATGATTTTTCTAGAGTTGAAATCATTTCTAATATTTTGCTACTCTAGAGCAATAAAGTCAGGTTTAAATCAATCTTCGATACACGTCAACTGGTGCAGACAATTAGTATTCTTTTTACCTGCAGTGGTAAAAAAGGACCATAATCGTTCGCATTCTGTTTGCTGTTTTTGACTCCAAGACATGTTCTCGGTGAAAAACAAGTAATCAAGTACGAAAGAGTGTCAGCAGTGTCCACTTAGGAGCGCATCGACTTCTCGAACTCCGTAATTATCAGCTCATCCGGAAAGTGTCAGTGGGATGCGGAGTGTCGTTATTCCGGCCCCCTTCTGAGTTAATTATCCCTTAAGCCTCAACGGAACGATAGCACTTAGCAGGAGGACAGAAGCATTCTTTTGTTTTAAGATGAGGCGCTTTTGCGAATATTTTCGCTCTTTCAGTACTCGTTTGTCGTTCTTTGTCGGCACACGGTGCTCTGTGTAATGGCTAATGGCCCGCACAATGACGTGCACCTTTCATATAGCGTATCTGATACTACACAGCAATGCTACATCCGACGTTAATTACTGATTCATTTAATTTCATTGTAAAAATAATACATTGTGTGGGAATAGTTAGCAGTAAGCTTAAAGCTATAAAAAACTCTCTGAAGTAAAAAAGGGTGATAATGGAATACCATTCACTAGCATATTCTTCCACACTATAGTCCGTAAAGGATTAGGTTCAGCGCAGTTTAAATCCTCTGAGAAAAATGTCAGTCACGAACATGTACAACAGGGAAATTAAATGGATAAAGTGAGTCAAACAGGCCCGTACAATTAGTGCATATACGAGCCCCTCCCCACTTCAGTTGGCCCACTTCAAGATTTGTACCAAAATATGCCTTTATAAACTAAACATGACGAAACTATTTACTTCTAAAATAATTTATTTTCTCAAAAACATTTTAGATACACTCTAGTCGTAAAAAATACATATTTGAAATCACTTAGACCTATAACTAATAGAACATCTGAACAAATAAACAATGTGAGAATAAATGCGCGAAGTTAACAGAGCAACAATTGATAGACTACCATTGGGTAACATCACCTTTATTTTTTATTACGGCTGAAATTCTTTGGGGCATAGTGTTAACCAAGTTTTGGCAAAAATGTATTCAACTAAGATTGAGTGGTACCAAAATTTTTTGTGCCGAAAATATATTGTTTTAATAGTGACTTAAATTTATGATGATTTGCTGTATTCCTAACATTGATGTCGAATGAATTGTATGAGTAACATTTAGCGGCGTTATACTTGTATGACTAAGAGCGCTAGAAACATGGTGTGCGATGCCTTGGTATGAATAATGTGCTCATACTCGTGTATGTTAAACTTACATCATTAATGCTTGTTCTAAATGTTAGCTTGTTCCATAAACGTAGTGGTGAATGAGTGGTTATAATAAATCTTATAAATGATAAAAATAAATATTTGAACATGTTATTAATTTTGACCCATCCTAAATCTGACTGAGCCAGTTACATGATCGTATTTCCTAAGATTATCTGTAACATGCAACACGTTTTTGTTGTTCTAGGCCATTGATTCCCAAAGTGGTCTATATCGACCCCTAGGGGTCTATGACAACCTGCAAGGGGTCTACCTCAGCGAAAAAAAATTTGGGGGTCCATGAAATGAATATGGGGGTCCACGATAGTGGATCTCAACACATACTCTGATAGTACCTATTTACTTACATCATACTATCTTATAATATCAAAACATATACATTATTTATAAAAGTACCTATGAAGTAAAAAAATTATTATATATGTTTATAAAATTGTGTAAGCTGTAGGATGTTGGTATTCGCTTTGTGGTCGCAATACATTTTGAACTTGTAAAAACCTGAGAGTCGCAGTCTCAGAGCTTCGCTACCTTGCACTGACTTGTTCAATTCGTCACTCTATAAATACGAATGTGGGACAAATACGTTTATTCGTTAGTAAAAAATATAAACAGATAGCATATCACACAAATTATAGTGAGTCAGTGTTATTTTGTTTGAGAGTGCTGGAAAAAAGTAAGTACATTATTTTTTATTAAATTTTAGTTTTGTACTCGTAAAGAATTACGCCAATCATGACTTTAGTTATTAGTAGTTAAATATTCAATCATGCAAAATTACACGAGTACTCCTCAATAGTTTCTTTTTGAAAGTTTTAGCAATCGGTAATATAATTACAGTGCAATCTCCGTAATTCGAGCTAATTGTTGCAAGAAGATGTTCGAATTATGGAATGTTTTCGGAAAAATCAAAAAATATTATTAATATACAGCTGCTGGATTTTCTGTCTTATTTAAATAATTTAATATTGCCCACAGATGACTGATGCCATGTCCGAATCTAAAAAGAAATGTAGACAGTACAGTGTTGATTATTTGAAATTTGGCTTCATTCCATCATTGCCGGACAAACAATCGCCTATGTGCCTTTTATGCAACAAAGTTTTGGGCAATGACGCTATGAAACCATCTAAACTGCAAGATCATCTGAGAAGATCCAACCTGATAAAACAGAGAAAGATTTAAAATACTTTCAAACACTCAAAGATAAATTTCAGAAGAGACCTAAACTGAACAGAATGTTCGCTTCGACGTCACAAAGAAATGATGATGGTTTGCGGGCGTCTTACAATATCTCGTTACTTATAGCAAAATCCGGAAAACCGCATACTATGGGAGAGAAGTTAATTTTGCCAGCTGTTGAAGAGGTTTTAAAAACTGTTTTACACAAACCTGCATCCGATATCATTAAAAGAATTCCCTTAAGCAACAATACTGTTGAAAGACGTATTGATGAAATGAGTTCTGATATTGAAAGCTTCTTATGTAATTATTTGCAAACGACCCATTTCTCTATACAACTGGACGAGTCAACTTTACCTGATAATGCAGCATTATTATTGGCATATGTTCGTTTTATTATGAATCAAGAAATCTACGAAGAACTGCTCTTCGCAAGAACTTTGATAAAGGTGAATCAATATTTCATGTTTTGGAGGATTACTTCATTGAAAAAGCAATTCCTTTATCAAATATAATATCAGAAGCTACAGATGGAGCACCTGCCATGGTTGGACGTTATCGTGGATTTATAAGCTATTTAAAACAAAATGTGTCAGGGGTGTTAGCAATACATTGCGTCATCCATCGACAACATTTAGTTGCTAAAAATTTGAGTGTTAGATTGCATGAATAACTTCATTTAGTCATTGATGCAGTAAACCTAATCCGAAGCAACGCGTTCAATACGCGGTTATTTGCGCAGTTGTGTGAAGAAAATGACGAACACTTTCATCAATTACTCCTTCACACTGAAGTACGCTGGCTGTCGAAAGGCTTATGTCTGACAAGATTTTTTGCACTTTTTGAGACTATTTTAGAATTTCTGGATACTAAAGATAAAATTTTAAAAGAAAATTTAATGAAGAGGAAAACAGACATCGCCTATTTAACAGATTTGTTTACAAAATTTAATATGGTTAATTTGCAATTACAAGGCGACAGTTTAAATTTGATTAAAACAAAGTCCATCTTATCAGCGTTTCTTGCCCGAGTTAAACTAATGAAGCAAAATATTGGACGGGACGAATTTTCTGTTCCCCAATTTGTCACAGACAAGCTGCCAGGAAGACGACGTTTCAACTTACGTTCAACATTTAAATGTCCTCTATTCAGATTTTGAATCTAGGTTTGAGGATATTTTGACTATGGTAATACCATCGTGGATAATTAATCCATATGGTGACATAGAAGAAACGAATGTCATAATACAAGAGGAACTGACTGAACTAAGTACAAACGAAGAACTTAAGGTTCAGTTTAAAAACGGATATCAGCAATTCTGGCTGCAAAACAACATACCCGTTACTTATCCCGTATTATGGAATATAGCGAGGAAATTTTTAATTTCCTTTCCATCGTCATACCTAGTGGAAAGGGGGTTCAGCGCTGTTACCAATCTCCTAACGAAAAAAAGAAACAGACTGGATATCATTAGCCGAGGAGATTTAAGATAAGCCAAATGTTGATAATTTATTATTAAAGCATCAGGTTCATCCTTCTCAATAAAAATATTGACTTATTGCTTATGTTATTTTATTTATAGTTTATTTTATGTTTATTGGTGTCTGACCAATAAATTCCCGCATTGGGAATAAGTGCCCGCATTGATTTTTTTTAAAGAACCCCCCTTTATTGAAAATATTTTTTTTTAATTATTCTGTAAATTCAAGGATAGGTACACACTAAAATTCGTTAATTTTTTGCCTATTTTTAAATAACTTAAATGTATAAGAAGCGGAATTTATTCAAACTAACAGTGAAATTATTGTAGAACATACGTTTATGTTATAATTAATAAACAAACTCGCTTATTGTACTATTTTAAGTAAAAAACTTTTTTTTTTATTTTTCACTTTTTTTTATTTTATCCCTCTTATTTGTTTTTCAATGCGGGCACTTATTCCCAATGCGGCACTTATTTGTCAGACACCTGTTTATTTAATGTTAAGTATATTTTACATAACAGATACAGAATTTTATTTTCAGTAGTTTTAATTTAAATTCAATTAATAAATGTATAAATTAACATGTGTTTTTACTTTAAGTTTTTAACGCTAAACTTCACTACAGTTAGAAATTTACAGGAAATCAATATCAGGTAAGTAGGGGGTCTACCCAACACGGAAAAACATGGCAAGGGGTCTACGACACAAAAAAGTTTGGGGAACTCTGTTCTAGGCGAACATTTAATCTAAGCAAGGATAATACGTTATTTCATATGAAATTTTGGAAATAATTAATGATTCACATAATGGCATTTTTGTTTTAAAACTGAGGAAATGCCTGTTGGTATATAACAGTTTCAGCCTAAATTAGCATGTTTTAATGACGGTGTTAATATGCGTGCAAAAACGTAGGTCATCGACCTAAATTTTTGCATACATCATTGACTTTTAAATGTGCCCCTATTTTCAGGTCCAGGCTTGCTTTTAGATGTCTCCGTTTTTTTTTCTTGCAAAAAAGTACAACATTTGATTTTTAGGACTGAGTTTCATGTTATTAATAGCAGAATATTTAGTAATACTTCCGAGATCAATATTAATTTTATCCTCAGCCATTTTAAAATCATCAGGGGAAAGCTTAACAATAATTGAGTATTATCGGCATAACAAGTTACACTCGAGTTTTTAATTTTGACGACCAAATCAAATGTATCTATATATTAAAAACAAGAGGAGTAGTAAAAACGAACCTTGTGGTACCCCAGGAACATTCTGTAAATTTGAAATACTTGGGCCCAGAACCACCGGCTACTGTCTGTCTAAATGTACTGGGAAGTCTATGATGTATCTTATAAATATATGATGGCTAATAGGGACATAGAATTACCGAACTTGAGAGCGTACCTAAAAATATACTGAAATAAAAAAAATCCATTTACCCTTCCCCACCCCCTACAAACCCTCAACCCCTATGCAGCAACAGCGCTAAAAACACACTACGACCCTGTACCGCTGTGTCTGTGACTGAAGCGAGCGCGTCGACAGCTCAGCTAATATTGGTGCCCTCTATATGCTAGAAGCAGTGTTGCTCTGCGTGCGCGTAAAACCCACTCGTTGGACAGATATTATAGTCTGGTTTCAAAATTGAAGGCAATGGCGAACTTGAAAGAGAGCGGCGTCTACCCTTTGTCGGTATGGACGGGAGACCGGCAGTGGTTGGACATTTAACATTTTAGAAGGGGTTTGACTTCCCACTGAAAGTAGATGTGCGCCAAGAAATCTCATATCTAAAGAATTCCAGTAAAGACATTTCTCACATGTTCTGATGTAACCGTTAGTGTCTGAATTCGAATCGCGGAATGCCATTGTCAAATGATTAGTGATTTTCTCAATTTAGACGTTGATTTACCATGATTTTTGAACATTTTAGAGCATTCCATATGTCATAATCACACAATGATACGTCACTGAAGGTATTATGACAAATGAGCGAATGGAAATTTCTTACTAAATGTTGATGTGATTTTTAGTTGATTGAAACAAAGGAGATATATGGTATGTAGTTTGAAGCAGTATTAAATAATAATTTTATGTAAACACTTTTGAATGTGGACAATACTTAGGTAAATCCGCATACCAGATTTTAGTTCATTCTAGTGGATGGTTTTGAAGATTTAAAAAAATTATGTTTTTTATTTCTAAACTTAAACATTTTTTAGTCACGACTTATGAATTACCCTATATAAGCCTGTACAAAATAGTATCGTCACTACTTGAGCTCGAATTGTCAGAATTGTCACTGTCACAGTCGTCCTTGCTATCGAGGTTGATGATTACTGGTTCTCTTGGTTTTTTTATGTAGCCATCCAGTTCCCATAGCCAGAGTGATTATACTGGTACTATACTGAGCCAAAATCATGTTGTGGGACCTATTGACTAGACCATAACAGAGCATCAGCCGTGGGACTCGATTCGCGTGGCACCTTCTCGCAGCCTGAGCGGCACCGGTACCACGTACAAGTATCTTGAAAAATTACATGATTCTGATTTTTCTTTGACATTATGTTGTTTTTTTGACATTATGTAGGTTTTTCTACAAGATGTTAACTTAGCACTTAGTTGTACGTGCTGTCTAAACGTCATGTGGCTTTAGTTATCAATGTTTGGCTTTGATGTTATGTAAAATCTGCTGCAGAGATGGCATTACTGGAGGTCTAATCTGTAAGTTGTATGTGTTGATGATAATTCCATTGGATTCTTGTCTCAAATACACTTAATGGGGATTCAATGCTAGAAATTACTTGCGGAGACACTTTTTCTTATACATTCTGGAAATTACATATACAAATTTGCTGAATTTCAAAAATGAGAGAGATCAGAAATAATTACATTCACTGTACACTGTCAAAGTACAAGCCATATACATGATAACGGTAATTACACCCAACGCGGGCGCGGTGATGATTTCCCGTAATTCTCCTCAGTTTTTCGTAATTTATAACTTTGAACATAACCTCTATTCAGACAGCACAACATATAGATAACCCGTCATATTCAGCATATTCAGTGATGATTTTCTCACACAGCAAATATCACTGATTTTATACACATGCAGACCAATACACATAATCATCCAGATGCGATCTTGCTATTCAACCAGTTTTCTTCTCAGAGATAAAAACTACAGACACGGATCACTCAGCCTCACAAAACTATGCAACCAATAAGGCGTGTAGTTTAGTTGAGTGATTCCTCCATAGATGGACGTTCACAACGATCCCAGTGAGCAAAGATGGAATGACTGTGCCCTAAAAACTACCTTGTCTGCAAGTTGACATCTTATAGGATTTTTTCAACGTTTTATAGGTTTTTTACATGATACACGTGCCGAGCGCTCGAGGTCATAGAAATGTGCCCCAACATGCAATGTAACTTTGAGGGAATCGCGTTGCTGTATTATATTTGATATACGGTGACTTTTACGACGTGCAGTCGACGTTGCGGATGGTTTTCATTTTGGATTTGTGAGGCTAATGGACGGATAGATTCGCTAATGGATGTTCATGCCACAGGTACGCAAGCGGAACTGGAGTCATACAATCGGAGTCGAAGGTTTAACTAGGAAAAAACATAGTTTTTATTGAACTGTCGGAAAAAGCAGTTGAATAGATGATTTTTTTTATATACCGAAGCAGCCGCGCGGGCAGAAGTCTAAATGCTAGGGCACCGCGGCTGCTAAGAGGATTCCAAAGAAATTTTGTTCATCCGACTTTTGAACTGCTTAAGATTAGTAGAACTGAGAAAAGCTTTCTCTTGTAGATTGTTCCACAATCTCGTCACCCTCGGGACAAAGGAGCGGTCGTATCGGCCAGTTCTGAATGTAGAGGAAGATATTGATGTTTTCCGAAAACTGAAAATTGGCACTTTTGCAGCCCTAGCAAAGTAGCAAAAACTGGGCCCTATTTCATAATAAGTATTGTGTAAAAATTAAATTAGGTGTATTTATTTGTAACTTGTATTAATATTATGATTTACCAGTACAAATGGTAGTATTTTCCCTATTATCTTTGATACATTTGCAACAAGTGATTCTAGTTTGTTAGACAAGCATGGGATAAGCTTCATGGTACAAAAAATTCGAAAAGATTGTAACAACAGATGCTATTTGAAATGAGAATCAATTCTTTGGTATAGAATTTAAATTCAATGGACGCTATCAAAGGGATTTAAGATAGGTACCAATCAAGATGGACCCCATCTAATTTTACCATATAACTGTTCACAAACTCAGCTGAAAATAAGCAACGCGTTTTAATGGACTTAAAAAAGCTCTGTAAATTTAAAAAAATTTATTATTAAAATACAATAGATTCATTTCAAATAATAATTATGTGATATACATCATAACTTAAAGAATTCTATTTGAAGATTCGTCATACTTTTTTCAACTCTGATAATTCCATTTTCTCGTTTTGTAGTGTTCTTTCTTCCTACATTATTCGAACCATAGAGAAGCACTTTATCGGGGAAATTCTGAGCCCTCGGTGACTCATACTCCAAGGAACTATCAATATCGTATTCAAAGGTGTAATTTTCAATGATCAGCTATAAGGAAGTTGTACTAAATCAGGGCAAAAAGGATCTCTGGAGCACTGCTACGTCTTTCTTCGGGAGTTCTTACCGGATACCGGACAGCTAGTCTTATTTTTCTAAGATATCTTGCCATACATGCCTTTGTTAACTTGCTGCTAAATCCACTGATTCACAAAATGCCATTTTTACAGTATTGCACAAGTTACAAGTAAATTAACTTGTAATTATTACACCACACTTTTTATGGGATAGGGCCCAGGGTGACCTTTCTTCTAGGTACAGTTGGTAATATATATCTATTATGTGCTTGTACTTGGAACTTGTAATTTATTACTCTAATATGTTTATGGAATATGCCTTGGTAACCCCATCTAAGCTCGATCTTATCTGTATATTACGCTCGGAGTTAGCAAAAGGTGCTTATAGACCATATTTGGTGCATTTCATTATCATACTGTTTTTATAACCTCCGCAAATTTTTTCACACAAAGCTTTCCGGTTTGTAAGTCGCAGGAACAATTTCAACAGCAGAACATTAGGATTTTCTCGGACAATTCCGAATTCTGAATTTGACCAAATTGAACTTCTTATTATTGAGGGACCTTATTTGAATTAACTTATTTCATGATGCATCAACTTCAAACTAGCAAGTATTCCTAATGTTTCCATTGGAAAATAGTTAACTGAAATCTTTTGTACTTCCGACTGGAGGAATCAGCCAAGATGAATCAATTTTAATTGCCCATGCGGGTTACAAGGATATCATTTCCAGTCAAAAATAATAATAACAATAAAATTAATAAAATAATAACAGGCCTTGATTTGTGGGAAAGAGTCACAAAAGGGCAGCTTGACCCTATCACGTGATTAAATTTTCTGTGAACTTTGGATGTGCCCGCTTGTTTAAACATATTGAATTACTCAACATTTTAGAAACAATACATTATTTTTTTTCAATTCCAAATTTGTTACATTGTAGCCCACCGTAGCTGTGATACAGAGAGCTTTTAAATTTTACTTTTTAAACGGTGGCACTTCATTATTAAAGATAAATTAACTCAGGTGTCATCAAAAATACAGAATGCGTTCTCACCCAAATATTATTGTGAATTCAAATATCTGAGTTGTTTCCTATCATTTTGAAAACTTACCTCTCCAGATAGACTTAGTAGGACACTGCAACGTGGCATTTGCTATCAAGTATGCATTGAGCGTTGTAAGACTAGGAGATTTCCTGAGCACATCTTCATCATTTTTCCATACATATCGCATCGACGTCATCTCATACGATACTGAAAGTCAAAAATGGATATGAAGTACAATGCAAGAACGAACCTCGTTGATTATAGTAATAAAAAAAATAAATTTGTCTTACGGCTGTAGTTCATTCTGTACGAGAGAAGAGCGCGAGAAGTGCGTATAAATACATGTTAGAAGGAGATGGAAGTCGGCTGAAGAGCGACGGTCATCACCACATTGCCTAACAACTATGACGCAGAAGGTCACGCAATCTGCTGCGTTGTCAATATGTTACAGCAGAAAATGTTCGCACAGGCTTCTACAATATGTTAGGCTACTGGCAAACCTAAGAAAGAGGCGTGTTCGAACATTTAATTTAAAATGTTATTTTCATTTTGATTGGAATTATTCAATTTCAATTTTGATGCGACTGAGTGTTTTAATTTATTTTAGAATTGCTTTTGATTTCCACTGTTGGTGATAAAATCAATACATCCTGAGTCATTGTTTCATTTTGCGACGGTACCTGGGTGTACGGTGATAACCGAAACAGGACGACCCCCCAATGAGGGTTAGATGGGTATTGACCGAAATCGCTCATCTATGATCATTGAGGTAGAAACCTTGCCTTGGAATGTACGAGATGCGGTGTTGACAAGCGAACCAATGTTGCAACGTTGCAGAATTTGTGGCGATCGTGACCTTTCGTTTCGGCCAAAATGGAGCTTCGTTAGGACCGATGCGGAATAGATCCTATACAGATTCGACACAATTCAAAATTCAAAAACGTATAAGTTCAAAATAAAGCCATTATTTGGGCGTAGAGAGTAAACTAACGCACATTTTCAACATGCATCTTAATTCGAGGAACTGGTGTAATATATTCGCTATCCAGCCGGCTTCTAGCTCTTTCTAACATATGTAACGCTCGTCAAGAGATATGAGGATTTGCTGGGATTGCGCACACGAGAGAAGGAGAACGCATTCGGAGCAAAAGAGACGGCATGTACAATACGTGCCATTCGATCTCGAATGGTACAGTCTGCGTCCTAAATTAATCGAATAATTTCAATAATGGAATACCGATTATGTGAAGCCTGGTTTTTTTAATCGAAATTGTTGGCATGTGTCAAATTTTTAAATATCAGTTCGTGTGTCCAATATTCTAAATTTGGTAACTTCATTAACTTTAGTAGTTCTATCATTGTCAGCGCTGGATCATCAATTTCACGAGCACCCGATCTTAAGCTATCTATTGCCTGCAGTATTTCATGTGGTTCGAAAACTCTTAGAGAAAATTTGTTCAATGGGTTGAGTTTATGTGCATTATAGAATTGAATTTGAGAGTATGTTATATACAATTAACGAATCTATATCATTAGGATATCTTAAAATACAATTGTAGGTCCACCAGAAGCATCTAAAAAAACAAGTTTTATATACTGCTTTTTCAATATTTTCAAAATTGCCGTAATACATTAGTTTTACAGAAATAGTTTTATGTTTCCGCACTTGTTCGCTACCGAAGGAGGGTTAAAAATCGGATTTATGTGATTATTTATACATATAAATGAGATTAACATAGAAATAAGGACACCAACACAATTTATTCCATAAAATAAGTATTGCACGCTATGTAGCTGTAAGACTGAAACTGATTGGTACTCATTCTATTTTAAATTGTCAATTATTTTAGGTTTATTTCCTTCTGCTTCTCGTTACATAAAGAATGTAACATTTGTTACAACCTCCCTGATAAAACTTTACGTTGTAATTTGGATTTAAAATCCATTATGAACGAGTAAATCTCTTAGGACACAAGAAATGGATGGCGTAAAATTGTATGTATTCAACCAACGAATTCGTAACAATACATACAATTCACAGATAATAAGTAATAAAGTTGTTTCACTGCCTGACAATTTTTCTCCTGACTGTACGCTAACTAGTCTATGAGTAGACATGACTAGAGACTACTGCGTCGTCCGGTGAATTGAACCGCTAGCTACTGCGCACCGAGAAGGCGTGACATTATTCAAAAATTCGCATCTCTTCCTACACTTGACGATCTGTATCTATACACACTTCTCTCTCATACACATTGAACTCAAGTCATCTGACAAATTTGGTTCTCAGTGTATAAGTTGGCCTGATGTATAGCTACATTATTCTTACGAATGAATTACTTAATTTAATTTTATCAATGCTTTGTGTCATCTTGGCCATTAAAAAAACGAACTTCTTAGCGGCGCCACTATTCTCACGATACTGAGAATGAAGCTTGAAGATGTGCAATATAAAGAAATAAATTATTACTCACTGCTTTCCATGGAAAAAGTGCACTTGGGATCATCAAACGGAAAAATATTCAGACTTCCCTGACAGGATAGTATAAGATGCCTCCTGAAAAAGAAAAATGGATGTATTATTCTGTTGGATGATATCAACGTACGCCTCAGCATCAGCACCTTGGTAATGCTTTCTGAGCTTCTAACGCTTGTGCATTTATAATTTTATTTCATGCATACAAAGTAGTTATTTCAAATTGTATTAAAAAATGCTGAAGATATAACTCACTGTTGAAATATAAAATACTCATATCTAGACTATTACTGTATAATAGGAATTCCAACCAATAAATTTGCGCAAGTGAATCAGCAAGTTGTATTGTTTTCATTTCAAAGAAGTTTGCAATCCTATATACGTTCTACAGGGTGTCCCAATATTCCATGGACATAGAAGTACTACTTAATTTTAGACTCAAAATAAGTCACTCATGCAAATGCGCTTTCTTTTTACAACAAATTTTTTCAGATTTTTTTGGAACTGATAGTCCGATTTGAATGAAATTTGTGTTTTGTTAGACTTCCTAATATTTAACATCTACAAAATAACCCGAACGGGTTCGAGTTGGATGAATACTACCCCCACCTACACATAAATTATAGAGGAATTTTTTCGCATTCGATTCATTTTTTGTCTGAAGCTGTTCTTGAAATGATCGAAGAAGATTCAGGTATCAGCACTCGCAGATTAGAACATGAACAAGGAGGTCAAAAAAGTCCTGTTAATCGGATTTTAAATGAAGAACTCATTCGTTTTTGTCACGTTCAGCCTGTCCTGGAATTATTGACTACCTACCATGACTCACGTTTGAGATTTGTACAAAACGTACCCGATCGCCGAGCAGCTGATAGGTCATTTCATAAGAAACATTTGTTTACAGATAAGTCATGCTTTACCCGACCTGATATGATAAATTTACATGATACACATGTTTACGCTGAAGCAAATCTACATGCATTTTAAGAAAGGCATTTTACAATACGTTTAACCTGAATTAATAGAAGAACTGCCTCTGAATGTAAGAATTGACATGTTTGTTATGCACGTTAATGCTCCATCTCATTTTGCGCGTGCTGTAAGAAATTACTCGAATGATGGTACATGGATTGGTAGAGCTCCTATTCAATGGCCACCTCGTTTCTCGGATTTTAAACCATGCGATTTTTTAAATGGGGAGCATTAAAGACACAGGTTTACGAGGTTCAGATAAACAACTCCAATCAACTATGGGACAGGGGTCAAAATGCTACAAATACATTAAATAATAATGAGAAAGTTAGCTATACTTTTTTACGCCGTTTTATTATGTGCAGGAACGAAAATGGTTGAACGTCTTTTATGAATGATTCACATTTATGCCTGTATGATATAAAACTGTAATAAGTCTGTAAAAAGTAATACCGTACTTCTTTATTTTCGCAAGCTACACATACGCCTTGATCTTACAGCTATCGTCAACCTATCAGTATTCTTGTGCAAGATCCCGCCACACAAATTCTGTTCATTCTGCTACCCTATACAGGGTTATCCAAATTAAGTGTCCATTAGTAACTTTGTTATTAGTGAAAATACAAAGTTGTTTGAATTAGCAAACTAGTAGCATTTTTAACGCTGGTAAAAATGAGAAATAAAAAAAAACAATTGAGAGTCGTTATTTTGATTTTTTTCAGTAAAATAACATTTTTTTAAATGGAAACCCCTGTATATTATATTTTTTTCTGTTAAAGCAATAAAGTCATTTAAAACTACCTACCGTGTTGTTTTATTTCTATATGCAAAACTTAAAAGACATCCCTCGTATCTACAATTCATGGTTGTTTGCATACATCGAGGTCGCGTCTCGTTGCTGTCTCAATCAAGAGAATCAAGGGTATATGTCTTGGAAAACAGGTGTCTAAGCAAATCGGCAGGTGTATTCGTAAGTTGAAGAGTGACATTACATCGGCTTTTTTTTGACATTATGTAGGTTTTCCAACAAGACGTCAACTTGCAACTAGCGTAGTTCATTTCATGCGCACTTGTAGCTAGCGCGGAATGAAGTATTTGCACACTAGCCTATTTAACCAACAAGTTGATATTTTATAGATTTTTTTTTGACATTATATAGATTTGTCACATAATAATCCTACGGGGCAAAAGATTATTCATCTGGCAGAGGCTTAATTTTTGACGAAGGGTATAATACATGGTGGCCCAATATTCCGTGGGCATTGAAGTACCAGGTATTATTAGACTCAAAATAAATCTATTGGACATGATTTACCCCTATGCAAAAGTGCTTTTTTGTCCATTAGAAGGTGTCAAAGTTTCCCTTTTAAATCACATTTCTTACAATATTCTAAGAACGGATGGTCCGATTTGAATGAGATTTGTAACACTTATGTTTTGGTAGACGTTCAAACATTTGAATTTCACGAAGAACTCTAAACAGTTTGAGAACGGTGAAAACTACCCTAAAAACTACATTTTTGACAACTTTCCCGACGACTCCTTTTATTTAGCGGATCTTTTTGTTTACGTCTGTCTTGTCTCTTATAAAAACAGGCCATCTCGGATAGTTTTCCAGAGAAAAAATGAGTTGCACCAAGAGGTTCCCAAACGCCTTATTAATTCTCTTACGGCTTGTGCGTACAGTGGTCGGTGACTTGTTGGTGATTGGGTCTGGGATCCGGCCGTGTGAATTCCGACTATACAGGGTTATCCAAATTAAGTGTCTACCATTAGTAACTTTGTTATTAGTGAAAATACAAAGTTGTTTGAATTAGCAAACTAGTAGCATTTTTAACGCTGGTAAAAATGAGAAATAAAAAAAAAACAATTGAGAGTCGTTATTTTGATTTTTTTCAGTAAAATAACATTTTTTTAAATGGAAACCTCTGTATATTATATTTTTTTCTGTTAAAGCATCAAATTTTAAACAAAAAAGCTTACAATAACTTTTCTCCTAGGTTACAAATTGTTGAAGTTATGGCCTCCAATCTGAAACAATTAAATTGTATTGACAAACTTTATTTTCAACATCAACTTATAATCTTACAAAATACAATAACAATTTTTTTTAAAGAAGATGCTCGAAAACACCACCTTGTTCTTCAATACATTTTTGGGCACGTTTTTCAACTGCATCACACTTTTCTTCATGGGAGAAACATTTTTCTTTAAATTAATGACACATTTTTTTTTTTTTTTATACTCCAACTACCACGAAGGCCTGAGGCCTAAGCACCCATTGGGTACCGTGGGGCTATGGGGGATACATGGGAAAGGGGGGACGCCACACGGACTCTGGCGAGGAACACGTGTGCATGCAACATGCACACATTCTGGCTCCGCCTACGAGAACCGCCGGGTGGTACCTCCGCGTTCGACAGTCAGAGACCATCTACCACCTACGGACAATCACAACATCCATGGCCAAGAGAAACATTTCTCCTGGGACGGGAATCGAACCCGCACAGCGCACGGCGACTGATCAGGAGACCGAAGAGTCTACTACTGCGGCCACCGCTGCTGCCTAAAACAAACACACAACATCCATGGCGAAGGCGAGATTCGAACTCGCGGCCCGGCCGGCCGGCTGATCAGTAGCACGACACTCTGACCCACGCGGCCAAGCTTATAAACAAGTATTTACACTAATGTTTGACATTATTTGATTTTATCATTGTTTTCCAAAGCCTTCTAGTTGCGAGTATGTCCAGTTTAACAATTTGTCGCTTATCTTAATGCTGTCAAATCGCGAACGCCATGTTGTTTTCATAGCCGTCTTAATATTATAATACTGCAAATAATTAAAAATATTTATCGTTATTTTGACTTTATTTTTGACTTTAGCGGAAAAGTCATTATGAACTTTTTTGTTTAAAATTTGATGCTTTAACAGAAAAAAATATAATATACAGGGGTTTCCATTTAAAAAAATGTTATTTTACTGAAAAAAATCAAAATAACGACTCTCAATTGTTTTTTTTTATTTCTCATTTTTACCAGCGTTAAAAATGCTACTAGTTTGCTAATTCAAACAACCTTGTATTTTCACTAATAACAAAGTTACTAATGGTGGACACTTAATTTGGATAACCCTGTATAGTCGGAATTCACACGGCCGGATCCCAGACCCAATCACCAACAAGTCACCGACCACTGTACGCACAAGCCGTAAGAGAATTAATAAGGCGTTTGGGAACCTCTTGGTGCAACTCATTTTTTCTCTGGAAAACTATCCGAGATGGCCTGTTTTTATAGGGGACAAGACAGACGTAAACAAAAAGATCCGCTAAATAAAAGGAGTCGTCGGGAAAGTTGTCAAAAATGTAGTTTTTAGGGTAGTTTTCACCTTTCTCAAACTGTTTAGAGTTTTTCGTGAAATTCAAATGTTTGAACGTCTACCAAAACATAAGTGTTACAAATCTCATTCAAATCGGACCATCCGTTCTTAGAATATTGTAAGAAATGTGATTTAAAAGGGAAACTTTGACACCTTCTAATGGACAAAAAAGCACTTTTGCATAGGGGTAAATCATGTCCAATAGATTTATTTTGAGTCTAATAATACCTGGTACTTCAATGCCCACGGAATATTGGGCCACCATGTATTATACCCTTCGTCAAAAATTAAGCCTCTGCCAGATGAATAATCTTTTGCCCCGTAGGATTATTATGTGACAAATCTATATAATGTCAAAAAAAAATCTATAAAATATCAACTTGTTGGTTAAATAGGCTAGTGTGCAAATACTTCATTCCGCGCTAGCTACAAGTGCGCATGAAATGAACTACGCTAGTTGCAAGTTGACGTCTTGTTGGAAAACCTACATAATGTCAAAAAAAAGCCGATGTAATGTCACTCTTCAACTTACGAATACACCTGCCGATTTGCTTAGACACCTGTTTTCCAAGACATATACCCTTGATTCTCTTGATTGAGACAGCAACGAGACGCGACCTCGATGTATGCAAACAACCATGAATTGTAGATACGAGGGATGTCTTTTAAGTTTTGCATATAGAAATAAAACAACACGGTAGGTAGTTTTAAATGACTTTATTGTTTTTCG